TCAATATAAAGTTATTTGCAAGTAGACCTGGAATTATGTAAGCAGTTATGAACTAAAGATATAGAAGTGCGTTGATCAGACCTACTAATATGGATTTTTATGTACATGGGGATGAAGTGCAGATGCCATGGTTTACAATGAAATGACGCTACAGTTATTTGTTGAAGGAAAATGAAGATCATAAATCAGATTTAAACAAAGAATTTCATTTTTAAAATAGCCTTTTGACTTCATCGGAGTTTGGGGAGATAAAGGTTCACAAAAGGAAGATTTCAGGAGCTCCTTTTGAGAATATTCCACTATGCCGATGCATTCATGACATTTGGTTTGTTATTGGAAACAATTCTTGAGAAAGTCAGTAGGATCTATCACAGGTGGTCCCAGTGGCAGCAGACATGAAAGAAAACTCATACTTCGTCTCTCTCAGTTTTTTTCCCTAACCTTTGTAAATCTTCCACTGATCAGTTTCTTCTCTCATTCTTCTTTCTTCATGAACCACTGATGAACGTACACACACACACACACACACACACACACACACACACACACACACACTGTTCTGGAGGAAGCAAATAGTGCTTTTAGTGTGCTGCCAACACATTGACAAAAGATTGAATGTGAGTGGAGCCTGAAATCTAGGAACAGTGGGTTTGTCTGAAGGAATCTTGTGGGGCAGGGGGGCCGGGTGCTGTTTCCTTTCCTTACCTCCCAGCCGCGCACTCCATGGGATGCCAGGCTGTCCACCCTCAAGGGCAGCATGGCTCTGCCATCCCTCAGCTCTTCCTTTCCCCTCCTCTTTGTCTTCCATTCATCTGGACCACTGCAGTTCTTCAGGAGAGTTATCTATGCCACCAGTGCTGGGCATGTTTCACGGCACAGAAATGAGATCCCAGAAATAAAATTGTTAAAATAGTTGCTCTCAATTGCAATAAGATTCAATTCATAGACCTCTTCCTATTCTCATTTGGGGCTTTGCAAGTGGAGTTTTTCTTCCCCATCTATTTTCATTCCATCTTCAAAATAATTGTATGGCTGGATATAGCAGAGAGAGTTCTTTGTTCTGGTGACCACTGAAATAAAGTTTAGTGCACCAGAATGTTTTATCTCAAGTCACTGAGTCAAGAGAAAGAAGAGGGCTGGGGATATAGCTCAGTGGCATAAGCGACTGCCTGGCAAGCACAAGGTCCTGAGTTCGATTCCTGGTACAAAAAAAAATAAGAGAGAGCAGGAAGAGACCTAGGGGTCAAGGTCTCTGAGGTGTAGTTCTCTACTCCAGGATATCCTAAATCATAAAACAAAGCAAAATCCAATATAACTATTAGCCATGCATAGTGGTGCATGCCTATCATCCCAGTACTCTGGGAGGTTGAGGCAGGAGGATAAGTTTGAGGCCAGCCTGGGAAACTCACCAATTTAGAAAGCAGGGCAGGGGGGATATCTCATTTCTGAGTCTCTGGGTTCAATTTTATTACCCTACTTCACAAATAAACCTAACTGTTGTTCTCTTGTATGCTGGGTCATTACCCCCCTGCTTTATGAATCGGAAACGTGTCTAAAATCATACCTGCCTTTGGCATTAGCAGTCTTATATGGCAAGCCCTTAATGCCCAGTGACCAGGGATAATTTGAGAAAGGGTCTGATCTATTCTCTTTTTAGGTGAGGGTGTCAGAGTCTATCATGTGACAGGGAGATGACACAGGGACCAAATTCCCTTCTCTAGATGGAGAGGGAAATCATCTTTCTTCTTCTTGATGTGGAAATTTCCCATTCCTGTCATTTTTGGGAGCAGATCAGAAGTTCACATAGGCTCTCCTCTTGAAATGTGCAGGGTCTATGAGGATAGGAGTCCCTCAAAAGCTTCCTCCAAGCCTTTGCCTTGAGCACAGATCATGTTTTATGAATTTGCGCATTTCCCAAATGGGAGCCTTCATCACAGAAGCAGAGATGCAGGGCAGGCAGAGTTCAGAGCAGCAAAGAGCAGCTGGAGCCTGGCAGCTGGTCCATGAGGTCCACAGCCCCAGAAGCTCACTGTCCCCAACCCTATTGCCCATGCAAAGTTGGTGGCCTGCACATGTGCACCCTGAGGAACCCATTTTAGAGTGGTGCTATAAGCTTAGTGAACATTTGTTGGCTGTCTTGTCCATCTATATATTTACATCTTTGTATTTCTTTATAGTCTCTGGAGGTTTTGAGGTCTGAGAGTCTATCTTACTCAAATCTATCCCTACTGCCTCTCCAAGGACAAACATAAAATAAGACTTTATAAATATCTGGATTGAATTACTTTTAAATGGTTATGTAACTTCCATTTCTACTATTTCATAGGCATTTTAAGAATTTATGTACTTGAACTCAAGGACTACTCTAGTAAGAGAAAAATTTACATCTAGGGTTGTTTCCTGAGTAATATGTGACTTGAGTTGACTTGAAATTTCTACATGTGTACAGTCAGTTCTAATACAGCACAACATACACACTTGTAACAAAAACTGGTTAAATATACAAGAACTGCATGTAAGCGAAGGCTTGGGGAGAGATACACCTATGGGGCCAACTCACAAATATCAACACATAGAAATATTTGAAGAACTTAAGAAAATGAAGATAACATCGTATACATGCTAAAACTTTAAGAAGCACATGAGTAGCATAATAAATGTGGTTCTTTGCCTTGAAATTGTTTGCAATTTGGTGGATTTGGGTATTAGAAAGGCTGAGAGATATTGAGAGGTGAAAGAGAACAATTTCAAAATGTGAAGAGACTTATGACCACAAATGTGGAGGATCGAGACCCGTGACACAGCTTTGAATGCAGATGTCCTGTTGATTAGTGGCTGTGTGTGTGTGCATGTGTGGGCATGTAGTCACACTTTGAGTATTCCTGTAGTTTCCACTTTTCCACACTCCTGTTTCTTGATGATAAAAGAGTCATAAGCAAAGGCAAGATCAGCTTCAGGTTCACAATGTTTCCTTATATATAAATAGAGTAACAAATGTGCTTTTTCAAGCAAGTGTTTTAAGTGTGCGTGTGTGTGTGTGTGCATCTCCCTTCAACTGCCTCCTATGACAAGAGCACACATGACACATCTCTGCTTTCTATTAACAGATTAGCCATGACCACCATCCCTTTCCTGTGATTCTCGGATTACTCCTCTTCAGTGAGGATGAGGCTCTGCTTCGTGTTTATCAAACACCTCAAAACACATTTCAAACATTTGGGTTTGAGAGAAACTCAAAATATACTTTGGCAGTTGATTTTCAAACACATTTAACAAACAAGAATTTAATCCTTACATTTCTAATTAATTTCCCTGCAATTAGCTGAAATACAGCTCAGAGCTTCCTAGATAAACAAGCGTGATCCTATGTAAATATTCTTTCAGAAAAAGTCAAATTAATTACTCCTGAGAGCCTTTACTACCATGAAGTTTACCTTGAAACTGAATAGCATATTTGAAATTTGCTTTGACTGAAGTATATCTAAATTTTATGAGATCATTTGTCAATGTCTTGCAAGGTCAATTTTGTACAACATGGAAAAATAGGAAAAGAATGTGAGTGCTGTGGAGTTGATGAACTGATTGATTCATTGATCCTCTCTTCTTTCCTTCACTTATGACTCACCATCTCTTTCTTTCAACAAATCTTTATTCAAGAAATATCATGCCAATAGTTATTGCTAGGGGACCACAAAGATGTGCTACTTGGTGAGAGATAAAAACAAATAAGTGAATTAGTCCAGAACATTATGATGACCAAATCTCTTAATCTGCTTTGTGCCACTAGAACAGAATACCTGAGAAGCGGTTACTTATAATGCACAGACATTTGTTGGCTCACATTTCTGAAGGTTAGGAAGGTCAGCATCAATGTGTCAGCACCTAGGAAGTGTACACTTGTGGTGTTGTTACGTGGCAGGAAGCAAGAAGGTGAGACCACAGTCCTGAGAGCCCTGTCATTAAGGCACTAAGCCAGCCTATGGTGGTGGAGCTCTCATGTTACCTCCTCTGAAAGGCCCCATCTCTTAGTACTGTTACCGGGGAGTTAAATCCCTAACACGAGTTTTGGATAGTATGAATGGTCCAACTAAAGTGCCAGCATGCTGAGAGGAAGGGCAGTGCTCTGTGCAAGAACTGACTGGTCATAACATTAATGCCAACCTGGAGAGACATAGCTGTGTTGTCAAGTCCACCTCTTTGCCTGTGATCTGCCCTGTCTCACATTAAGACATTATCAAAAAAGCCTTCCAAAGCCTGATTATCACGTTTAAGACAGCTGGAGGTATAACTACTACTGACTGTCATATTCAAAATTGTGCAAAATCCACGGCTATTCTCTGTTACTTTATGGACTATGAATGAGCTGTTAGAATAAGTAACTTATTTTCAGTGATTTTCACAAAACAAAAAGTAAATTAGTCAAAATTACCCTGTTTTTCTAGACGTAATTTTTTTTAGATATAATTATGGAGGTGCCTGGGACAGGAGATGGGAAAAGTTAAACAATACTCCCCTCTTTAGTGGGCTCCCTTCTTCTAAAATTAGCACAGTAACAGCGATCTAAGTCTCTGCATAACTTGTCCTTTAAAGGAATAGCTGGTAGCTGGGATTTGTGTCAGGTAAACCCAGGAGAGAGTTCTAGCTGTGCTACTTTCTTTTTTATTTTAAAAAGAAAAAAAAAATAATAAAATAACGACAACAGAGACAAATAAAATGGTACAGAATTTCAAAAGAAGATGATAAGAAATTAACAATGGTTGTTGTGACCTTGAACGACCTCCTGGACACTTCTAAACTTCATTCTCCCACTGTGAAAGGAAGTTGTTCTTGTCCACTGGGGTTGTTATAAGAAGTAGATGCAGTAATTTAAGGAAACAAGTAGTGCCAACTTCAGAGCAAGTGCTCTGCAGAGGATGGTAGGTAATGTCATGTGTTGCTCTTCATGGAAAGGCTTTGCTAACAGATTCTGCCCTCTCTCTGTCTCCTTTCCAACCCTGTAGACAACTGTGATGACCCATTAGCATCGCTGCTCTCTCCAATGGCATTCTCCAGCTCCTCAGACCTCACTGGCCCTCCCAGCCCAGCTCAGCTCAACTGGAGAATTGGTAAGCAGAAGGTTCAAAATCCTACAGCCAAGGGCCTGGGGATTTAGCTCAGCGGCACAGTGCCTGCCTGGCAAGTGCAAGATTGTGAGTTCAATTCCCGGTACTGGAGAAAAAAAAAAAAATCCTACAGCCAAGTGACAAATAAGGACATTGGGAATCTTCAGGAAAAGTGATTGTTTCCATCTGCAGGCATTATGTCCAAAGGCAGTGTTTAGGAAAAGGTGTGAGAGGAGATGAACGAAAGTCTAATGTAATCACACATCTAAACACACAATTGTTACTCATATCAGACTATTGCTCCTCTAACCACAGACTTCAGTTTGATTTATCATGAGACCTCTGTAAAAATTTCTTTTCAAAATGCATTCACTATATTTTCACAGTACATGTATACAACATAAATAGCATTAGAGAGTATTATATTTTCTTTATAAAAGATGAAGTTCATTAAAAATTTCCACTAACCTTAAAGTAACTGCAGCATTAATACCAGTTTTAAAAAAATCTAGAACATGCAATTAATTCAAAGCAAGATTATAAATCATCTACAGTCTTAGCAAGTACATATAACTGAAGTTTAATGCTTGGTATCTTTATAACAGGTGGTAAAGATGGGGGTATACACCCTTAATTAGTCCAGTCTAGTAAGTAGATACACAGCTATGATTGAAGAGGCCTGGAGTGATGAAGAAGAAAGCCTTAAATACCACTCAGTTGGCATTGAAATGCTGGCTACAAGACTTGTAGGTTTCATGAGTTTCCGTAAGTGACTCACCCGCCCAACCTTTGTGTTTTTATCCCTGAAGTGGCACCACATGCTCACCTTGCCCAATGCTTCCGAAGTAAGACTGGACGCTCCCGTCCCAAACATCTTTCCCACTGCAAGACTGAAAATTGGGAGTGTATCCAGTAGGCCCACTTTTCATTTCAGGAGGGAACAAATGTCAGGAGATTTTGACACCATGTCTAACAGGGATTCCAAGGACAGTTTCTTAAAATCCCAACCAAATCAAGTGGCAGTAGAAAGCTATTCATGCTTCATGACCGCTGGGCAGTTTCTGGGGAAAGCTATGGGTCTGTTCTCAGGCCAGCTCCCTCCCTTCTGGACAGGGGCTGACTGAGGGTACATGTCTCTGTTCACCTCTCCTCACCACCCTGAGTCTGTTCACCTGGAATTTGAGTGCCTTGACCCAAAGCTAGCATGAGTACGTATGGGGAGGAGACCTAGTTCTCTCGTAAGTAGAGTCTAAATCAGCATGTCTGAGCAGTAGGATGACAAAGGAGCCTGGGCCTATAGCTCATCCTCTGGCGCAGCACCCAGGATATTGACAGCATCCCTGTCATTCATTGTGTCCTTATGGGAAAGCAGGCCCAGGCCCCAGAGTTCTCATTCCAAGGCTGCACACTTGGATTACCCAGACAGCTTGATGGGAGCACTGCCTGAGCCCATCTCCCATGTATTCTCAGTTAATCATGTGAGATGAAACATAGCAAGGAGATGGATCAAGGAATAAATAAAAGCTTTATGGGCAGTCAAAAATGCACGAAGAGTTGCAAACCACGGAGTTGGATGAATTCTTGAATAACAAATCCTTTCATGATTATTTATGGAGCACCTGCTATGTGTCAGGCACCATGCTGGAACGTGACACATAGTTGGCAAGAATAGGTATGCTCTTTTTGAGTTCACAGGGGTAGTGCGGCTTGAGATGTACTTCCAAGTTATGACCCTACTTAATGACTAGCACTGTTTATTGCTAGTGCTAATATTGATACAATTACTTTACTTTGTATGGGTACAACATACATATATGTTTGTAAAAAATAAATCATACATTTTACAGTATATACTAGCATATATATAGATATACAAATACTGAATATATAGAGACTGAGGGTCATATTAAAGGATGGATATATATAAGAATGGATCTTCCCCCCATACATATACATATAGACACTAATACCTTGATTCAGGAATATTTGTGCTTACAAATAAGTGTTTGGCCAAATTTTACTCCCATTTGCAAACTGCACCAGATGCAAACATGACCACAGCATCTTCTTAATAGAAGCACAAGTGCAAGTATCTTCACCAAAATCCATAAAACAGATTAAGTTCATAAACCAAGGCACTACTGTACATAATACACATAAGCACATTATATATATATATATATATATATATAGTTATCCTTCAGTATCCATGGGGTACATATTGGTTCTAGGATACCCGTGGATACCCAAGTTCATGGATGTATAAGTCCTTTCTATATAATGGCATAGAGATTCATATACTACATGAATCTCATATATTATAAAACATCTCTGGGTTACTTATGTTATCTAATATACCGTAAATGGCATCTAAATACTTAATTGTTATATATTGTTTAGGGAATAACAGATACAAGGAAAAAAAGTCTTTATGTGTTCAGTTCACAAGCAATGTTTTTAAATATTTTTCATCTTCCTTTGGTTGAACATATAAAAGTAGTACCTGAAAATACAAAAGTTCCACTGTCAGGGCCAGGGATATATATATAGCTAAGCGGCACAAGCGCCTGCCTGGCAAGTACAAGGTCCTGAGTTCAATTCTTAGTACAAAAAAAAGTTCTACTGTCTATGTGTATATGAATGGATAAAGTAGCCTACACATGTATGTAAAACATGTAAGATATATACATTACAGCACATATATACCGGCAGTACACCTGTTATCATCAAACATAAAAATAATTATGTTAATGTAGAGGATAAATTTTGTCATATGTCTGAATAAGCAAATGTAAAATTTAGTAAGTCAAAGAGAAAAAATATAGCTTTAATTGATATTAGAAATATGAGTAAAACTATGTTTCTTTTTGTCCTTCTCAAACAAGATCTATATCCTGCCTGCTCAGTAGCAGGACCAAGAAGTAATTGCAGCTCTGAATACCCATTTTCCATATGAGTTCTTTAAGTCTTTCTCTGCATTTCATGAAAGACATCAAATGTACCCTAAGGAGCAAATTGTACCCCTGTGCATGAAATCTAGTGCATGTGGAGATGTCTGTGGAGACCTCAGAGAGTTTTACCCTAAAGGCAGGAATTATGTGTCTAGGAATCCACACTCACCATCTTATGTTACTACATCAAACGAAAAATGGTGACAGCCATACATAGGTACTCACCACAGAGCATCACTGCTCCAAGCCCTCAAGTACATTAGTTTGACTTTCACAGCCACCTTCCCTGTAGGTAATATTGGTAGACTTGTTTCAAAGGCAAAAATTGTTATAAAGAGGGCAGCTGCTGCCACACCAAATTTTAACCCAGGAAGTCTGATTCCCATGTCCATGCTCCTACTCACAGCCCCTGGACACTGTCCTGCCCAGAAGGTGAAAATAACTTCAGTGTTTCAGACAAGGAGATGTGTGGGTTGTTTTCATTAGCTCACCCTCCCCCATGGTGTTATTGAAGTGTCACTGACGGAACGAGGTATTTAAGGTAGATGGCGGGATAATTTGATTGTGTGTACATTGTGAAGCGGTCATTGCAGTCAGGTTAGTTAATCCCTCTACCATCTCCCAAGGTTACCTTTGTGTGTGTGTGTGTGTGTGTGAGGGAAACACGTGAACAGATTTCAAGTCTGTAACACATATTATTAACTGTAATCATACTGTACTGTGAGATTCTCATACACAGTCATGTTCATACCCATCTGTTCTAAATTTCATTTAAAACCTTCAAATATCAGAAATCAAGGTACATATGCATTTTGTTGATTCCCAGGAAGTAGTTTAAAATAAAGGAGCATTAAATACTTGTCCAAGTGTAATTTTCTTTTTTTGGTTTTTATTAGTACATGTTTCCAGTGCATAATGATTGCATTTATCATGTGGAGTTGGTTCATGTTCACAATGTATCTTAACTGTTCTTTCATCTGCTACACCTCCCATCCCTCCCCTCTCCCTCTGTCTTTTGTTCCCCTTCCCATTTGAAGAAAAACAATTCCCTGCTTCCTATTATCTATCCTTTGTTTTGCTCATGGGGTTCTCTCATAATGAATGCCATGCAATATTTAAGCTTATGTGTGTGATTTATTTCACTTCATATTATGTTGATAAGGTGCATCCATTTACCTATGAATGCCTCATTTATTGTTTTTTATGGCAGAGTAGTACTTCATTGTGTGTAAAGACCACACTTTCTTTATCCATTCATCAGTTGATCAATATATAGGCCATTTTCATAATGTAGCTATTTTAAATTGTGCTACTATAAACATGGGTATTCCTGTATCACTGTAATTTGATAACTTGAACTGTTTCAGAAAAATACTTAGAACAGGTCAAATGGAATTTCTAGTTTTAGATTTTGAGAAACCTTCATACTACATTCCACAGTGGATGTACTAGTTTAAATTCCCACCAACAATGTGGAAAAGTTCTTTTATAATTTTAAATAAGTTAAAGTTGTAGCTCTCCTACAGATATAGAATGAGCACATCCAAAATTTACTCAGCTCTCAAAAGATTGTTAGGTGGATACAAAACTACTTAGTGCCCATGTTATTATGGTTTTCCAGAGAAATGGAACCAATAGGGCATACATCACTATGCAGGAGGAGTTTTAATATGGAAAAGGGCCCAGACGACTGTGGAAGCTAAGGAGGCAACAATATGCTTTCTGAAACAATCAGGGAAGCCAATGGGGACAGGCATTCGGAGCTAGAAGGTCTGAGAACTTGGGGATCGGGTGGGGCGACCCTCTGCCTAAGGCCTGAGAAGAGTGGAGGGTGCAGGGTTGGAGGAAGGATGTTCTGTGTGGCTCCCAGAGCCCAAGTCCTTGAAATCTGGAGTTCTGCTTGAGCAGATGGATGTCCTTGCTTGAAAAGTGACATCTACCTCATGTTTCCCTGGCACTTCTTATTTCACCTGGTCCTGCAGGGGCCTGAATAAGGCACGCTCACGTTGTTGAGGGCAGATCTGGCACACTCAGTCTGCCAGTTGCAGTCGC